ATGTCTGGTATCAAAGCACAATAAATAACTTGTCAATTACTATGACGATCTCAGGTCAAAGGAAACTCTTACATCACATTCTTCAAGAGAATATCCTATTGACAGTTTATGGTAATTCTAACCATTAGGAATTATCCAATGAGTCGGTTCAATGATCATATCTCTATATGCATCATCTATCTATGTGATTTAATTAATGAGATCAACTAATCTTTATCCAATAAAGACGATCACATAAATATTGATCTAACCGGATTACTAATGTCCAAATTAATAATCCTACAATCAAGAACAAATTTAGATTAAATTGTAAGAGACTTTGCTCTCATTATCATGATCTCTATCACGATGACAAATCTCAAAATTTAATCAAGGACCTTATCAAATTAATCAAATAATTAATAATAACTATGATATATAAAAGAATATCAAATGCCACATATTTTTATATCAAATAACATTCACAAAAATATGTTCAAATCATCAAATATGAGATTGGATTTAGGACATATCTACTATATCCCTAACAAATAGATCATATTTTTGCTACAAGTGGATGAGTGAATAAAGGACGAGGAGAGGTGGGTGTTGATGGGAGGAGAGGAAACAATGCATTAGATTCTTGAAGTAACTCTTCTATATGCTGTTAACTAGTATTGAAATAGAGAGTTCAAATTCAACTGACCAGGACGCATTCATTGCTCTAAAGACACAACCATCGAATTTTCTTGATCAAGTACTTCTTGAAATAGTAAGTTTTATATACCATTGACCTATTAATATGTAGTTAATTATTGACACTGTAGTGATCCTATGAATCTTAAATTAATTACAACAATCTTCGGTGCTTATTATTTATCTGCTTATATAGTCTTAAGAGTCTTTGTCTAAAATACCCGTTTTTTTTTCTTTCTTTAAATATCACTTAATTAACACCACAATAATTAGAGCAACTTGTTAACATCAATATTCAGTTTGTCAAGATAACTAACATTGTATAATACTTGGACCGGAAGAGTATATTATAGGGTTGCTAGTTGCATGTGCTCCTAATCATCCTCCACAGTCCACACATACAAAATTCAAATTCAATTAAAGCCGTGGAGTCCATCCCTTACATGTACGAGTAATATTTAATTTTAAGGGAAATGGAGTAAATAAACAAAGATTAAATAATTGGCCGAGAAGGAGAACCCCCATCAACATGCACATGGCCTTGTTCCCTCAAAACGTAAACTTCATAATAATAATAATAGTGATAATTCGATAAAATAAACATTGATTATACATAAATAAATTAAAATAATTAAGATACATGATGCGGAAAATCTGGTTACTGGAAAAAATGTTATTTAAAAATGAAGGAATAAAACACTCAATCACTATAACAGCGAGGACAAGAACAACCACCCAAAGAGGAGAAAGAAAATGGAAAGAAATTGAGGGACAATTATTAAACAAGCCCCATTAGTAATAAACAAACCAGACATTAGGGTTTTCAGTTTATTGCTGCTTCTTTTCCACTACAAATTTCCAAAGATCATTTCTTGAATTATCTACGTATACCATCAAATAAAAATACAGACACATGGACATCTTCCTCCTCAACTAAACTGCTTCATCAACATTTTCAAGTCTCCATAAATTGCCGAACTATTGCTCAGTTCCTGCTCTTGCATTTCTCCATGGCTCTTGGTGCTGAAATTAAAAAATTAATAATTAGAACAATTGGGAAAAACTTCACTCTGATCTCAAATATTAGTCATTTTGGTAAACTTAATTTGTCTAAAAATATTTAACGTTTTATAAAAGCAAAAATGGGAGCCCGGCCCTCATTCACGCAGGGTGAAGGGAAGGATCGCACCCCAAGGGATGTGATATAACCCTGATGCAAGCATTAGTGGCTGATTCCACAGCTCGAATCCGCAATTTATAGATCACACGAAAATAACTTCACTATTAGTAAAAGGCTCCCCTTCGTTTTATAAAAGGTAGATGTCATTTATAACACATTTTTTAAAATCTTACCTTTGTTGTTTCAATTAGTGGAGTATCAACTATCAAGTATGAGATGTTTAAGGAAAGATAAAAGATATAGTTTCGACAGATACTGTTATGATTAATACTATAATTCTTTTTAAAAATTATATAAAACATCTTAAAAGACAGATAATAGGAAATTTGTTGAAACTTAGAAAGGAAGGAAAACCCATACCAAGTCCAATAGCTTCGGATCCTTTCATTATGCGCAAACGCTTGCATGAATCAACAAACATCCTGAATAAAATCATATGTGTACAGAAATTCGATTAATTTCCCATTTGAATATGGTTAACAATTCATTAGTAAGTTATAATTAAGGAGAAAAACAATTTTTTTTTTTAAAAAACATACTGCCAAGGTACATCTCCCACGAGCATCCAGTCCCCATCCTTATCTTCATAGGTAGGTACATAGTCAGAACTGTTGAGGAGATCCATCAGTTTCCTCTCATTCATAAAATCTATCATTCCTTGGGCCCCATAATTACCTGTTCCATCAATATGCATCCCATAATTATTTACTAGTGGAATTTAAATAACTTTATAAAATATCACACACTATCATCGATGCACTATTTATGTATTAAAAAGCTAGGCTGTACTATATGCACCCATATGATCATTGATATACTAAGATCTAACCTTTTTCCTTCAATATTTTCAAGATTCTCTTCTGAAAACGCATAAAACACTTATTACTTTAGTTTAGCAATTAATTAGTGGATATCAAGAGAGAAGTTGCTAGATTAATTTCTCTGTTACTTATCCTCAGATATGACATTTTCTTGAAAAACTTTACATGCATTAGATCTTTAAATGAGATGTTCCAAAAAAAGGCATATCATATTAATCCCTCCATCCATTCCATAAGAAAATTTCATTTCTTAATTAAGATTAATCCTACCATGTTTGGTAGAAAAGAACTCCAGTTTCCTTTGTCGATGCAATTATGAGAATTAATAATTCTTGAAAGAGTTCAATTTCTATATTGTAAAAGACTTTCTACACTATTAAGACACCTAAAAGATAACTAAAGGAAATTATTTCATAATAAGTGTGATTAATTAATAATTACTACTTGCTAACAACAACAACATAATACCCAATGCAGACCCACAAGTGGGGTCTGGGGAGGGCAGAGAGTACGCAGACCTTACCCCTACCTACAAGAAGGCAGATAGGTTGTTTCTGGTAGGCCCTCGGCTCAGAAAAGATAAATGAAAGGTGCAATAACAAGCAAACCAATTTTGACAACCGAAGCGAAAATGCAAATAGAAAACCGAAACAAAAGCAGTAACAAGCTAGTAAAAATAATTACTTGCTAGGGCATGTTAAAATATTAACTTAGCTTGTTGAAAATATAGAAAATTGAGGAAGTTACCCATAGTAAAGGAGCTAAACATGTTGGCCAAAGCATCAGAGAGTTGTTGGTAGCTTTTGTACATCTTCAAGTCTACCTTTCGAAGGTAAGGTGCACCATCCATGGACACCTTCACAAATGCTGCACTGCTGCATATTCCTCCCTTTGAATTCTCACTTTCTTCACAAATGCTGCCGCCTTTTTGTGCCATTATGTTCTTCCTGTATGATCTCACTGGTGGCCATCCCACCACTTGTGTCCTGCAATTTTCACAAACATATATATATTTAAGAAACTGAAAAATTACGTCAACTTCTATATATGTACTGATAGTGTAAAAGGGAAGAAAAAGAAGAGACTTAATTATTACTTAGCTGGTGGCTTGGCTGAGTCCTTGTTGCAAGTTTCCTTAGAAGGATTCTTTATTTTCTCCTTACTCAGATCCAAATTGGATTGAAGGTTGAGTTTCAGATCAACAGTCTCAGAAAATCCTCTTTTTTTAGTGATGGAGTCAATATTATTGTGATCAGCAGGATGAGCTGCTCTTAATTCTCCACCGCCACCAGGCAGCCCCAAACATAGCTCAGTTTCCTTGAGATTCAAGTCCATTTTCCGGCCAATTACTTCCATCAAATAACATAACCTCTTCTTTCTTGATTATATATAATGGCTATCTTCTATGCAAAATGATTAAATTGAAGAGAGAGATAGATACACTCACACAAAGGTATATAATGTAGTTCTAACAAATAAGGGGAGCATCTATATGGATTTATGTGCATATATACCCATTATTCAATTTTTCTATGACATTACAATCGTATGGCATGGTGACACGTGCACATATTTGGTATGTTGATTTTCTTGGGATCAGAGGGTGTATTTTTCTTTACAAGATTAGAGGGCATATAGTAACTATAATTATATACCATTCCTTCATTTTAGTCTAATTAAAGGTTTTGGGTTAGACATTTAAATTAAATAGGATGGGTGTCCTTTAATACTAATGAAGTAAGTGGACATTTAATTTTGAATACATAGTGATTAAACTAGAACACTACAACAAAAAAGTCTTTAGTGGCACTAAAGTTTTTACCGGCAATTAAATATTGGTCATTAAATCCAACGTCGGCAAAGGCTTTACCGGCCATTTCACCGGGTGTCGGTAAAGACCCCATTTATTGCCGCTAAAGGTCTCTGAGTATTAGCAGCAGTTAAAAACGACCACAAAAAGTCTTTAAAAAATGTCCAGGGAATACATTTGGCGGCCTTTTGTTATTTCAATAAAGAGCAACTATATTGCCAGTAAAAATGATTGTTGGCAATTTTTCATCGCCACTAAAAATTACGAAAGAATTTACAATTTTCATGCCCATTGTATTTATTTGCACTCAATAATAATAATAATAATAAATAATCCTAAAACACACATAATACATTTCATTAAATCTAAACAAGCAAAACAAGTACTAATTCATAATTTAAATAGAGTCAAATACATTAAAAAAGTGTAAATTATTGAATACAATTGATGGTGTCATCTTGCGTCTTATCAAATAGCTATAATATACTAGACAATAGACTTAAATTTTTTCTAACTCTTTATCATAATGAGGTCTTCCACATGCCAAATATTTTGAACATCTCCATGTCAAATGCTCAAATTTGAATGTACAACCTTTCATCCTAATCTTTTGCTCATCACATCTTTTATCACCAAGATCAATGATAATTGTATCCTTTCTCCTCTTTCCCTGGACCCATCACATGCTTCATAAGCAAGGGAAATTGTATTCTCTTCTTTCCCTAGATCAACGACATAATAGAATACAAATTTTAAGTCAACTGAATTGCCGGTAAAGAAATATACATAGAAATGTGAGTGTCTAAACTTCATGCCAACTAATTGTTAGATTACATAACCACAATAAAAGCAAACTGGTAGCAAAAAAAATAGTATGAGAAAACTATAAACATATTTACAAATCCTGGTCTTTTCTGCTTCAAAAGTTAGAAAATTTCCAAAAATAATACATATACCATATTTTAGATGTCTGATATACATTATATTATGTAATCATATCATGGATTTATTGAGAGCTTAAAGAGATCTAGTTGTTGGAACCAAACAAACTAGAAACTTGATGATCCGTGATACACAAGAAAACAACTCAATCCCAATTCTATGAGGACAAGTTAAGTTGTCCAACTCTGATTGAGCAATCAAACCAAATAACTAATGTAAAACATCAGAACAAATTTGAAGCTAAACACAGAAGAATCTAATGCATTAGTCCAAAAAGAAAGTACACGTACGGTAAAAATAGTTTTGGAGATATGGAGACTACAGAGCTAAACAAGATCCATCTACCAACATCGCATGAATACGGATTGCATATTTGAAATGAGTCTTATCGGAGGATTTTCAAGTAATTTTTTTTACTAATCTTAGTTTGCAGCATATTGCTGAAGTACATCCTATATGTGCTTGAACTTATACCTAAACAATGTAACTAAAGCCAATAGTTAGATATGTTTGTCAAACCCTCCTTAACATATGATGCTCGCAAATCAAAATAGTGTAAGTGGCCCACTGACGTTTTAAATATATACTTACTTGCGTAACTACTTAGAATCACATAATGTGAATTTCTTTCATTATGACTTTCATCTAATATAATATTCTTACAAATCAAGTACGAGCCAACTTATTTTTATAACCGGAAGAAAAACATGTCTTGAACTTGAAATATAGTAGAAAACAGACTAGCAAATAGTCTAGACTGTTATTAGTTATAAATAAGATAATTGATGATTTTTCTTCTTTGCCTTCTAATGATGGGAATATGAATACTATAACGAGACCACTAAAAGTGAGCTTCTCTAAGATCTTTATACCATAAAGCTAAGTAGCTTAAAGTAAATTACATTAGAAAATTCTTTTAGACGTATCTTTATCAAAGTGCTCTCAACAAAATTGAGCAGAAAAAAGAGCTTTACCTGCAACTTTTTGGCATTACACATACAAGACCTCCACCTCGATGAATAGCCATCTAAATATGCTAGATCACCACCAGTTCCGATCTGTGACACCTTCAATAGAGTACTTCTTTTAGGTCAAGAAGATCCAAGTACAATAGCTACAGTCCTAACTGTAACCTCTCAGTCTTTTTAAAGTACCAAGCAAAACAGAAACTAAAGAGCATATATGAGAGTAGAAATGAAAGTTTTAAGCAATCATAAAGCTCACTGATATTTTAATGGGTTTTTGATGTACTTAATAATTTTTATTAAAGCTATGCACATTTGAAAAATTAATCTATAAGCACAGAAAGGAATAAGGCCAAACCTAAATAAGACTTGCATTAGAAATTAGCAAATCCGATGTCTAAACGTGATTAACTATCTGATCATCTCTTCACATTCTTTATTATATAAATTACTCCTTCAGCAGCTTTAAGTCTCGGACATCATTTGTTAGTAACACCAATCTCTACGAAGTCTCTTATGTTATATTTCAGTTATATGCCCAATACTACCTCCTCTAAAATTAATATTCAGAACATTTGATCGTAGATGACAAAGAGCGTTCTAAGATTAAATTAGTAGCTATCACAGGAATTCAAGCAGTAAAAATGAAAGGTTAATTGAATTACAGTAACAATTACCCATATCTCAAATGCACCAGAGGGGTTGCCTTCCAACTCCATGTCAGATCCCACGACCATATTCAGATGCAGTTAACTGGGATATATTGCACCAAAATTTGCAATAATTTTTTTGCATTTATATACATATGGGAGCAAACTAAAAGCTAATACGGCGATATAGAAAAGAGATCAAAGACGTAGACAAACACTTTTGGTTGACTTTTAACTATAATACATAATACATATAGATTTTCATTGCTTCTATAGTTATACATCGGATCATCCGGATCCATAGAAATGAATAAAATAAAATAGCTAGGCTGACTTTTGGTTAGTAAGAGCGATTAGGAAACCACAACACATTTTATTTTAGATTCCTTCAGACTATCAAAGATTATAGAAAAAACAAATCTGTGAAGTGCCAAACATTCCAAATAAAAAAAGAAAACTGACTATTTGAAGAATATGCACATAAATACATTAAGAAAAATTAATTTTCATAAAAGTACTGATATCGAGTTAACATGATGAAGATTTACAACTTACAGGATAATCGAAAAGGATACTAGAAGTAAAGTCAAACTGAGGAAGGAGAGCAATAGGATTTTTTTTCAACTCCAGCCGCCCCTTTGGCAAGGACCACATAGTTTCTCCCTTTGATTGTAATCGTTGCAGTTCTAATTCAATATAAAATTCAAACAAAAATACCCCAAAAATTAATAGTTCAGAACTAGGAACAAAGTCATACAAAGCAAATTCTTTATCCAAACCAGACATTAAAAATGGGAAATCCAAATTCTTAACACTATTTGATTAAACATTAACGCTAAATAAAAATTGAGTAATCGAGTACTTACCTGAAGTAAATCTATAAAGATAGAAGAAGATAGCTATTGTTCTTCTATGTGGTTTTCAAGCCCTAACTTTTTGCTAGTTGAATGTTGTTTTGTTTATAGGGGGAGAGAGAAGTGGGGGAGATAAACCGATGTGGAGAGTGATTTTGGGGCTAATGTGGGAGTATAAGTCGAGAGAGATCTCAATCGGCATTTGATAAGAAAAACCTCTCTGATGTAAAAAGTGAAGGAGGGAACTGGGGAAAAGATTGGAGGGAAGATGAAAAATTGGCGATTTCCGGCATAACTTTTACTAGCCAAGTATTTTAATTGTCAGTGAAAGGATTTATCGCCCGATATCAATTATTTACCGGTAAAGATTTTACTTAAATATAAATTAGCGGTAGTTAGTTTATTGCCACTAAATATTGATCGGTAAAAGTAGTTTTTGTAGTAGTGGAAAAAGAAAAAATCTGTAATTGTTTTAAATTATTGCTTTTGCTTTTGTTGGGGACATGTAAATTCTAGGAGTAATTATTATGATACCCTAATGATTTTCCTTTCTTTATTTAGTAATATGTCAAGTGAATGGGGAATTTTTAATTTAAATTTTAAATAATGAAAAATAAAAACAATATACTAGGAGGAGAAATAATGACATGATTAATGTAACAATGAGCCTGAAATGAGTAGTGGTCCAATAAAGAGATATGATCAATCAGCACCGATGTACAATATTTATTATATATTCATATAACTAAAAATAAAGTATTTTCTTATTAAAGTATATGCCGATAGCTCCATATTAATTAATGTAGGACTTGATTTATTATGTATTGTCACTTGCAACTCAATCCATCTGTTTTCATGTGTTCCATTTTCTTTTTCATCACAATCATCAACCCCGCCTGAATTTAGGTAATTTAAGTTTAGTTTCGTAATGACTTACTTAATGATGATCAAGAATAATAAATTAACTGGGAAAGTGTCTGCCTGTTTTAACTGCATTTTGATGATGTAACCACAGCAATTGGCGTAGTCAAGATTTATAAAATATAGATACTACTTTGATTGCTTTTCCTCTACTTAAATGAAAGCAAGACAATCATCTGGTGGTAGACGGGATTGAAATAGTTATTTTAACTAAAGACCAAATTAATCACATTACAGGAGATGCAATGATGTAAGTATAATTTCATAGTTTTTATAGTAAACTCCTATAGGGTTTTTTATTTTTTAAATAAAGTTGCTCAGACAGCCGTCTAGGTTGTGT